GCTCCGGTGCTTGGCCTCAAACGCTTTTGGGTTTGGTTTGGGGTGGGTTGGGCCGGGTTGGGGTGGGTTGAGGTGGGTTTTGGGGTTGGTTTAGGGTGGAAATGAGTCTGGTTTAGGATGGGTTTGGGGTGGCTTGGGGTTTGTTCAGGGATGGTGTCTCTCCAAAGTTCCTTGAGTGCTCATCCGCTGTCAAGCTGTCATGGTTTTGCGTGAAGGGCTCTTTCCTCAAAAGCCTATGCTGCCAAGATCAATCACCTTTGGCCAACGGTCCATGCCAATCCTTTCCACAAGCTAAAGCAGAGTGTAATGTTTCACACACAGCCCGGCCAGTTTTGAGATGGTTGGAGGGCTGGTGCCTTGCGGTGCCGGGTGCACAGAAATTTGCAGATGCAGCACCCTTCCAAATCCTAGGCGCGCAGACGGAACACGTCCCGTGAAACTGACGCACTGTGAGGCTGAAAGAAACGACCTCAACCATTCAACCAAGCTCCATCTGCAGTTGTTTTTCTCCCGGAAACGAGTCCCGGCAGCAGTTTCCCCCTCCACCGGTAAGGAAACGGCTGCCTTCGGCGAGGAGCTGACGTCGGCGGCCGAGCCGTTTGGCTTTGAGGCCAAGTCCGAGGGCGCCTTGGGCGATGCCTTCGGTGCCTGGGGTGAGTCGGGTGCCTGGCAAGAGCCGGCTGCGGCCTGGGAGGCGCGGAAGGATCTCAAGAAGTCTTTGGGTGGCTTTAAACATCGCCTCATCGCCTTTTTAGTGCCTTTTAGTAAAGTGAGGTTTCATTGGGCGGGGTGATGTTTAAAGGGGATTTTGTTTTTTGAGCACTGAATGTGATCAGCATACATTGCTCAAGATGATCCTATATTGCTTCATGCAAGGGTGAGTGGCTGGCGGCTAGAGAGCCATTTTTCTGCCAGACCGTGTTGCGACAGCCAAATCGAATAGTTTGGCCTTCCATAGGACTATGGCCTAAAGAAGATCCGCATCAAATTCGACTTCTTGAGCTTACTTCACAGGTTTCCCCTTTTTGGCTTCCTCTTTGCAACCTTCTGGTATCCGTTTGCGTTTCACCGGAGGCCCCCGGCGAGGACCCCTTCCGAACCGAGCAGGGCGAGCGGTCTCCGACCGAGAGGCGCCACAAGAGCCCAGACAAAACTCTGCGCAGCACCGAGAAGTCGCCGAAGTCGCCGAAGTCGGTGGCCCGGGACGAGGCAAGGGACGAAGCCTTCGGCCCATGGCCCATGGCCCCAAAGTTTGGCTGGACCAAGTTTGCTTTCTGTGACCCAAGATGCTGGCTCTCGATAGATTTGTCCCTTCCTGTCACTTGTATTTTCGCTCGGGAGGTGGTATAACTTGCCCAGAGAGGTGGATATGTGTCAGAACCCTTCTTTTCCTGCTTGAGCGGAACATGCAACGAGTGAGGATCAAGGCTTCCGATTGGGGCATTGATTATTTATCCATGTCTCAATGTTGCAGCTGTTCTGCTCAGCTTTGATGAGGATCCCCCCTTTTGATTGGTGATTGAACTGACGACAGGGTTGGGCAAAGTTGGTTCAAACAACCAGGCAATAACTCTTCAATAAAACAGTGAAATAGTTGACAGTGCAATTGCTGCGGGGATCCCAAAAGACATTTGCAGGTGTAGGCGGAGATACCCCTAAGACAAAGACATGAAATCTGCAGGTCCCCAAGACCTTTTGGCACTTCAAGGGGGGGCATGTTCCATGTCTGGACTGTCCAAATCTTCGGGAGTTTTTCTGTGGGTCGTTTTTGGTCCTCATCTAGCTCGCTGTCCGGCACCGAAAAAGGTCCTAAACACAGCCATTTTCGAACAAGAGGCAGGATTTCAGTAGCAGAAATCGAGCTCAAGCATCCGTTTCAGGACTTTTTGCATTTGTTCCTCTAGAATTTATTTGATTACAATTGGTTTAGTATGGGTTCAGACTTCTTTTTACTTTGTTCATCTCACAAAAGGCCTTCTGTATTGAAAGCCCAAAGGCATGAATAGTTCAGGAATCCAAGCTCAACCTTCCCTTCATTTTCCTTAAGTCATGGCCCCTCCAAGTTTCCGCCTTGGTTCCATTTGGAGTCTTTACCCGTCAAAAAATAGCACGGTGTCAACCCATTTCATGGGGTCAATGAGTCAATGACCTCCAAAAAACAAAGGTCAGAAGGAGCGATGCTCCAGGCAGGTCAGACTGGGCGCCTGGGCTCCACGCAACGAATCGCAGGAGGCGCTCTCAGAGCTGAGCCGGCGCTTCGAGAAGGTGCTAGCGGCGGATCGGGAGGTCTCCAAGCTGCGGCTCGGAGTCGGGTTTTTGTTTGCTCGCGGAACCCAAAGCCTTCGGTGTTTGTCTGCCTCTGACGGTGCGGGCGCGGTTCTGCGAGATTGATTGTTTGGGGCCCTCTGCGGGGGGGGGGGGCTGTTAGAGGTGCTGGTGTGCAATCATTTTATGCTGGTGCATGCTTTTTTTTGGGACCTTCCCGGGGAAGAAACATGGAGCTGGGGATTTGGTGAGATGTGTTTGGGCACTTACTTGTTAATCACGGGTGGACAGAGTTTGGGGCACTTTGAAACAACATTTAGTCAAACACAATATACGGTGGGGAAAAAGGTGGGTAATTCTTCAGCCATATTTAGCCCCTTGTATCATGAGCAATGAGAGTAGGTGGTTCCACTCCCTGGTTTAATTTGGATTATCGCCATCTCAGTAGACTCAACGATCAATGTTTTTTTTGGGAATTGCTCATACAGATACAGGTATGTGCCAAGGGCAACCCAGCACATGTACCAATTGTCAAACGCCCAGTTTCTTCGCTAGGTGTTGTTGGGGATGGTTCTTCACCCCTTTATCATGGGAACCCGGATTAACAAAGCTTGGTAGATGTATATGGGGTGTCCCCTTTTAGTGGGAATCCTTCACTCACCCCTCCCCATTAATAAAACCGGTTTATGTGCTCAATGAGTATGGGGTCAACATTAGGGATGCTTGACATGCTGTGTATTTGCCAGTGCTAAGACTGGAGTGTGACCATGTCTCGCACAGTGGTTCTGTTTGGTTTTCTTTTATACCAAGTTGAAAAGGGTGCTCTCAAAATGATGCGCGCGCACACAGACACACGCACGCACGCACGCACGACACAGACACAGACACAGACACAGACACAGACACAGACACAGACACAGACACAGACACAGACACAGACACAGACACAGACACAGACACAGACACAGACACAGACACAGACACAGACACAGACACAGACACAGACACAGACACAGACACAGACACAGACACAGACACAGACACAGACACAGACACAGACACAGACACAGACACAGACACAGACACAGACACAGACACAGACACAGACACAGACACAGACACAGACACACAGACACACACACACACAGACACACACAGACACACACAGACACACACACAGACACACACACACACAGACACACACACACACACACACACACACACACACACACACACACACACACACACACACACACACACACACACACACACACACACACACACACACACACACACACACACACACACACACACACACACACACACACACACACACACACACACACACACGCGACGGCCATAGGGGTACACATTGTGTTTTTTCATGACTGGACTTGGTTGCTTAGTTTTGCAATACCCCATAAACCAATCGTTCGGGCCCTTAGTACCCGGAAACCCCCAAGACACTCCCATAGTTGTCCATTTGCCACCCCTTGAAGGCGCAAGCCGTTAGACATACGGGTTTAGTGGGTGTCGCCCAGCCCAGCCCCAGCGCCCGGCATGCGGGCCTTTGCTGAGAAAGCCGGGCTGGAGAGATGCAAGGGACAAGTGTTGAAGGGGGCCCGGTTTTCCCTTTGGTTCCCCTTAAGAACTCTTCAAAGAAAGGGTGCCAGAAAACAGGCGCGCACACACATACATACCTACACACACATACCCATGTGCTCAAATAGTCATTGCCAAGGATCCGAGAAGAGATGCAAGGCTTGGAGGATGAGCTGAGGTCGGTCCAGGCGGGCCGAAACCAAAAAGCCGGCAGCATGGCCCCCTCAGCAATCGCAAGCTAGGACATTAGAACTACTAAACTGTGTGTGTGTTTCCCTTGGCGTTTTTGTTTATAGAGGGGGACAAGGTCAAGCTTTGTTTGTGATTTGCTTTCACACCGCAAGTGACATGTTGGTGCCATGGTGCACGTTTGCAACTGCTAGAAGCGCGGGTGCTTGTACGAGAACAGGTGGTTGGCGAAGCAACGAACACTTTTTCCCCTAGAATTCTGCAGGTGAGATGGCCAGAGCTGTCCATGACATGTGCAAGCTTTTATCATCTTGCAATTTGAAAGCGGCGCGGCTGGACATTGTGTTTGTTCTCGAAGCAGCAAATTGAAGTCCACGCAGCAATCCCGATTCTACTGCTGAGAGGCTGCTGCTGTGTTTGGGTTACTTGTAGTATCTACCGAAGACTTTGCAACACTCCCGTTGTTGCGGTCCACGCATTCGTTCCGCACCTTTGGTGCTTATGATGTAACTTGGTTAGACTTATTTACATTGTGGGGTGGGCGAAGATGGAGCTCACAGTGCTGTCTTGGCTCGGGCCTGAGATGCACACATGTGGAACTGGCCGGGGGCTTCCAACAAATGCCCACCCGCAGGATTCCAGGCTCCAGTTGGATCGGCAGAACACGCAAGAGGCAGGACAGATGGGTAGGCACATGGGAATGGTCTGAGCAATGAAGCTACTTATTGCTTATTTCTACGTGAAAAATGGTGAAGCACAGACAACTTGTTGTTTCCCGTTGATATCCGTTGATGTTTCACGAGTCAACTGACTTTGTTTTTCGGGATAGCCAAATTTGCCCGCCTGAGGCAATCAATGCAAGCGGATCAAGGAGCTGCACTAAGACACTCCGTGAGTGAGTTTCTGAATTTATTTGTACTTCATGGAAAGACCGTGGCACAAAGTTTGGACGTCTTTTAGCCTTCTCGAGTGGTGAGAAGCGAGGGCGGGTGGGGAGAATAGTTTTGTTTGGTTGGCAGGAGATTACCCCAACACACGGGGAGCCAATATGCATTGCATGGTTGTGTTCTTGTAATTCGCCTCGGTTGTACTGCAGGCATGCGGACGCAACTAGCTACCTGCCCACGATCACGCGACTCCGATTATGTAATTTGAAAGGGGCTCTTTCAAGCGAGCCAGGTCTTGGGTAGCGCACCCCCAGCCAATAAATGCCACGTTTGTCTTGTTGTGACCATGTTGGTGCTGGTGTTGCCTGTCATCCACGCTTGGTGGTCCCGGGGGCCAACTCTAGTCAGGTCATTGTTTTGCTCGTGGAGCTGAGTATCGGACGAAGATGGCTATTTCTTTGGGCTGTTTCCTTAGGAGCCTGTTGAGTCCTTTGCCAGGAATGGTAAGCATATAACGTGACAGCCCGGATCATCCGAGCCAAGAGGTTTCTTGCGCACGGGCCCTGCCATTTGATGTAGAGGTGGTGTGCTTGAAGAGGCGCTGGTGTGCGAGGCATTGCTTCTTGGTTGTGCTTGCGCGTGGAAGTGCTGCATTGACTGGCGTAGATATTCTTCAAAACTCAGTTTCAAGTTTGGCAGTTCTGCCATCATTGGCATTCGCGGGCCCAAGGGAAGGGACTCCTCTACACCTCTGGAGATCACGGTTTCTTGCGTTCCACGCCATTTTTTTTACTTTTTGCAGTCCCTTTCCCCACGGCTGGTCTTCGGTTTCCCGGCCGCTCGCGAGTACCTGGCGGCCTCGGCAGGCCAAGGAGCGCGAGCAGCTCAGCGCCGAGAGCCAGCGACTGGAGCTGCAGCTTTCGGAGGCGAAGCAGCGGCTGCTGGCGCTCAGGGACGACTGCCGCGCCATGAACTTGGCCTCTCGTGCGCCAAAAGGAAGAAGGCTCAAAGAGTAAAGAGCTAGGGTTACGCAGGTGTTAGTCTTTGGTTCCATTTACCAAGGTGCCATTTGGGTACATTTTATTGAGCCACGGCCAAAAGTGGCGCCGGTTTGTTGGGGTTCTACCATGGGGAAACCCGCTTGTTCAGGCAACCCGACGTTGGGATGGTTTGGGGTTGGGCAGTTTTGGCTTGTGAACCCCGGGTTCTAGAAGCGCTGTTCTCTGAGTACGTGGGACAGCTGCGCCGGGAGTAGTACAGTAGTACCCGAGAAAGAGCTCAACATTTTAGTCTGCGAGGCCATGCGATGTCATGTTTTAGTTGTGTTTACCGGAATCGTTCCAACATAAACCTATATTTCATCTACATTTGTTGCCAGTTTCTTTTGCGACAGCAGTACTGAGAGGATTGTCAGAGTTACACAATGAAACGCCATTGCCTTGTGGGAAGTTGTCAGTTTCGAGCCATGCGTGCTTGCCAGGAATGTGCCGGAAATTCCAGCGCCTTTTCCTTCAAGGATGTGTTGTTGCAACAGTGAGGATGCCAAGCAAATATCCCGCGCAAAAAGGTATCATGTTGGACCGTCGTGGTTGACTTGCGGTAGTTGTTGTTTTTTTCTTTCTTTTTTTTCCGCTACCTTTTGTTGTGGCATGGTACGAAGCATTTCCAGTTTTTCGCTGCGTGAGGACGACGCCAGAAAGGGTAAAACTCAGCCTCATTCAAGTGTTTTTTGTGAATACCGTGTTCGGGCTTGGTTGAACAGGAATCCAAAGGAACCGCATTTGTTTAAGACCCTCATTTTACATAGCCTCTTGAAACCTCCTAGGCTTAAACCCAAGGAATTGGCTTGTTCCCCTTGCAAGACCTGCGCAAGACGTCGCCCGATCCAAGGAGAGCCTCTCCATGCGCCGGGACCGAAGCCATTTGGCGGAGGAGATGGCCTTCCTGCAGCGGAGTCTGGACACAGAGACCCGGTCCCTGGAAGGCCTGTCCCATTCGTCGTGGGGTTCTCACGGTCGTCATCCCGGCCTCTCCTTCTCCTTGCCCTTGCCCTTCCGCGCTCTCCTTTTCTCACTCAAGTTAAACATACTCTCGCTCACTCAGCTTACGCTCACTAACATACGCGTCCTTACTCTCCCGAACTTACTTCCACTCACTAACTGTTGCATACTTATTTTCACTCACTCCACTTACCCAAACTGACTTTCATGCACTTCCTCTCACACCCTCAATGTACACTTACTACCTTTCACATTCTTACTTCACTCGCTCTCGTGCGCAGACAGGCCGGCAGTCTCGCTGCTGCTGATAGTGTACCAAAACTCATGCAGTACGCTTGTATCCCCGCTGTGGGTCTGTTTGGGCTGGGTTGTAAAAGGCTCAACGAGGTCGGCTGGGCACATAGTGCAGGTTCCTTATATATTAGCAGGCTTTGACTTGGATTGGAGACCCGTGGGGCAGGCTTGGCAAAGATGAACCAGAGCATTCTGAACTTCAACGGCGGCATGGAAGCTACCCGGCTATGAGTCAGGACGCAATCATTGGGCCATGTTTGCTTCGCGCATCGATTCTCAAAAGTACGGCGGGGAGCTTTGAACTTCGACCAATGGACCCAGTCTTACGTTGACAACGGACTTACCTCACATGACCAACGGCTTGTACTTTGACCCTTTCACGGGTTGGCTGTGTTGGACGGAGACTGTGCTGCCTCTTTCTTTGTCGCTTTTGGCTGTTGGACGCGCTCCGGCAACAGCACCGCGTGGGATGCTGAGTCGTTTGATTTCTTGCTGGGGTGAGCAGGGCGTCGCAAATCAAATGGGAACAATGTAGCCTTCTTGTGCCCCGACGGCATGTGCTTGCAGGGTGTGTGTGTGTGTGCCACTTCGTGTACAATAGGGTTTCGTTAGTTTGGGCGGGACGCAGATTTGGGCAGTCAGTTGGCCAGCCAATTCTATGGATACATGCAATTTGTTGGTTGGCGACGATGGCATATGCTGGGGCGTGCAGCTTACAAATCCCTTGTATCCATGGGAGCACCTCAGTCGGCAACACTATGGGTTACCTTTCAAAGTAAATCTGAGGTATCATCATGCTGTTTGATTATCACCGCACGGAGCGTGTCCTTACTGGCGTCATTTTACACGTGGTTGGACACGGCAAACCAACTGAATACGAAAACCTGCCCTGCCGATGGATCATAGGCTTTGTCTCCGTTTTGGTGGGATGCCTTCACTTTCCACGCGTTGACCCCAGGCCAACGCAGAGTTGCTGGCGAGGCAGCGGAAAGAGCTGCAATTGTCCAAGGACCGTTGGTCAGTGGACTACGCAGTCCAAAACAAATTGACCCTTTCGTCCTTTGGGCTTTCCTGTTTGGCCTATGTTGTGTCAGTGGCCGGAAAAGGTTAAGCTTCATTTCCAGGCGCAAAGGGCAAGTGAGACAGTGGATTTCCTGACTAGTGGAAGTAAACCATCGCACCCCATGGCAAATTAGTCGGAGATAGGCTGAGATAGGTTTCGCCTTCTTGCACTCTTTTGGAATTTTGATCTGGGCTTTCGCTTAAAACGAATTCATCGTCAGCGCCTGCTGAGGCTTAGTCGTACCTCGGTTGGACACCTTGCAGGCCTTGGTGTATAATGTTTTGTGGCGTTGTTTGCGTTCAAGGGTGAGGGCTGATGTCAATATCAGTGGAGGTTTGGTGCTGTTGTAAGATTGCTCTGGTGGGGGCCGAGGGGTTCCTAGGTTCACGTTGCAATGTGCAGCCATTCCTTCACAGCTTCACAGGCTTCCCCAATCCGCTCCCCCTAAACACATCAGCCCCCAAAAAGAGAGGCCCCCCCAATGCTCATTGGTTCCTGTTAGGTGTACGGGTTATTACCCACGAACGAAAATGGACTTACACTGAATTCAACCCCGAAAACAAGTGGTTCCCTTTTTCTACCTTTCAGGTCACTACCAATCACATGGAAGTGGTTGCATGACCCTCCTTCTGGTTCCCTCGCCTTCAGGAGCAACAGCAGGCGCGGCAGGAGGAGCGCCAGAACAACGAGCTCCGCAACTTGCTGGATCGCAGGAGACCACCCCATTTTGCCCTGGTTCCCCCAAAGGCCAAGAAGGTGTTCTGGAAAAACAGACCTTCGGAAGGTGGGGGCTAGGGGAGGTGGTTGGAATTCTATGACGGACTCCGCGCAACGAAGGTATGGTGGCCCAGGCAAAGGGAATAGGCCCCCAAACAGAAGGTTCTGCCGCCTCACCGTTTGCGTTGGCCGCATGGCCACCTTGCCTTGCTCCAAAGTTCGGCAGGCCATGTGGGGGTTTTAGGGTTCAACAAAATACGGGTCCCTCCGTCCTCCAGTTTCCTGCAGGAGACGGGAGCAAGCTGCCATGCTGGCTAGCCACCAGGACTTGCAGCAGAAGCACCAGCTGGTCAGAGCCATGCAGACAGACAATGTGTCTCGCTGCGTTTGCATGCCTCGTAATGTGTGAGGGTGTGTGGGTGTGTGTTTGTTCGTGCGTGCGTGCGTGCGTGCGTGCCTGCGTGCCTGCGTGCGTGCGTGCGTGCGTGCGTGCGTGCGTTTGTGCGTGCGTGCGTGCGTGCGTGCGTGCGTGCGTGCATGCGTGCGTGTGAGCGTGCGCGTGCGCGTGCGCGTGCGCGTGCGCGTGCGCGTGCGCGTGTGCGTGTGCGTGTGCGTGTGCGTGTGCGTGTGCGTGTGCGTGTGCGTGTGCGTGTGGGTGTGGGTGTGGGTGTGGGTGTGGGTGTGGGTGTGTGGGGGTGTGTGGGTGTGCGTGTGTGTGTGTGTGTGCGTGCGTGTGTGTGTGTGTGTGCTGTGTGTGCTGTGTGCGCTGTGTGTGCTGTGTGCCCTGTGTGTGCTGTGTGTGCTGTGTGTGCTTTGTGTGCTGTCGGTGCTGTGTGTGTGTGTGTTTGTGTGTGTTTGTGTGTGTGTGTGTGTGTTTGTTCGTGTGTGTGTGTGTGTTTTTGTTCGTGTGTGTGTGTGTGTGTGTGTGTTTGTTTGCTTGCTTGTTTGTTTGTTTGTGTGTGTGTTTGTGTGTTTGTGTGTTTGTGTGTTTGTGTGTGTGTGTGTGCTTGGCCTTGTGGTGTGTGTTTGCGTTCGTGTGTTTGTGTCAGTATGTCATTGTTTGTGAGTGTTTGTGATTGTGTTTTGTGTCTGTGTTGGTGCGTGCGCTTGTTTCTGAATTTTCTCTTTTCATGTGCGGTGTTTGTCGTTTTTCTTCGCCCGCGAAGGGTGAGGACATCGGGAAACAGAAAGTCTGTTTGAATTCAACTTGCTCAGGCCGACTGCCTGGAAAATTGTGTCCGAGCATGTGCTGCCTTAAACATGTTCATTGTTAGCATTCGGCTATGCTTAGCAGCAATGTTCTACGCCTTTTTGCCAGGTTTCTTCCTGGAATGTATGTTGGTTTGACATGGCATCCTTGAGTACTCGCTTCACTTCTGAACTCGGCCCTTTAAGCGACTGTCCGGTTTGTGAAGCAGACACCCGGCCAAAATGGTGTGGCCAGGCATGGCTTGCATATTTATGTTTTACATTTGTGTCATGACCATGCCAAGTATACAAGTACCTCGGCATCTCTGCGTCGAGACCCCCCGTTTCAGTTTGGAGTCCAGACCAGCCGCAACTATCATCGCATGTGTTCAGAGGGAACACAACTGCATGGCTGCAATGCATTTCTCAGAATCATAGTGCAGTGGTATGGTATCGTATGTACCCTTCTATCCAATATGTCGGACCACATTCTACCCTGAACACTAGCAGAAAAGCCCAAGCACGGGGATATTTGTTCATGTGCCATGCTTCCAATGTTTTATGCGAGTCTTCGGGCTCCAAATGAAGTTGTTGAACAGCCGAGGTGTCTGCGCTGAGCGCCATGACCAAAAGCGTGCCTTTGGACGGACATTCCTGGGCAACCTCTTTGCTGGGCTCCAGGACGTGAGATGGCAATTTCACATGCCATGCTAATTGTCTGGACCGCGCGTGGGCGAATCGCAACAATCTGCACAGAGGCTACGTGCTACCGCAAGATCTTTCAGCATTTCAGAGCCGTATTCAACCCCAGTAAAGCGCCCGAGCCTTTCCATTAATTCGTGGGCAAGATGCAGGCCACAAGGCATGCGCGTCGCGCCGGGAGCTGCCGGATGGAGAAGTGCAAAAATTGGCTCGCCGGCCAAGGCGTCAAAGTGTGCCTAGTCGTGCAGACTTTTCGGTAGGGAGCTGGACTTGTTTTGGGCATTCAGTTCTTTGAAGCTTTGAGTTTTCATCGGAAGGCATGTTAAGGCATGTGTTTTGCTTCTCCACTTGTTGAAATGAGCATTGCACGCAGGCTTCTAAAGGATCTGAATTGGTCTTGTTAGTCCTTGATTTCGGCTTCACCACCACAATAGGGGTGACGAATGGGTGGCCGATTCTTGCCAGTGACATGCATCCACGCGTTGCATCAGAGAGATGTGCGACTGTGGCTTTGTAGTGCTGTATATCTCATAAACTCCTTGGGCTAGCGGGGTTTGGGGGTAGTGGAAGCCTTCCAGCAAAGCAGTGCGAGGTGGCCAAGGTGAAGTCCGAGTTCTGGTCATGTTGCTCACGTGAGAACCCCTATAGCATGATGGGACGGCTGGTTGGAACATTCCAGTTGGAAGATGCCACTTTGACAAGGGCTGGTGATGAGAGTTCTCAGAGACTCCCCAACGATGTGTTGCAAACCACACTTCCAAGATGCTGCACGGGGTACAACAGAAGCAGTTGATTCCCGCTGCCTGACGGATTGAGGGTGCTCCTTTTTTAGCTGCCGTCACCCGTTGTATTTCATTGCGCCACCAAAATCCCTCTTGACAGGCCGCGTGTGCTCGCATTTTCGGCTGCCTGTTTGTTCGTCTCTCTGCCTACCCACGTTCAAAAAAAATGTGAGCCCTTCTGGAGCTTTCAAAGACCTAAAGCATGACCATGGTCCATCTCCCAATTCCACACGCCCATCGTGCACGGCATGAATAATGCTTATGCCGTTAATGCGTGCGACTTCAGCGAACCTCACTGCTCCAAGTTTCCATACTAAAAGCATGAGACCCCAATTTAGTGGAGGCATGCAAGCGGTGCACCCAGAAGTCAGCCACCAGGCCCCAAAATTGCCCTCCGGCCGGGTAGGCTTGGAGCTGGCTGCTGCGAAGGAGTGGAAATGAGGCGGGCATGACTCATGGCCGGTCTTTATGACCAAGTCCCCCAGACCTTTTGGAAACACATGGGTGTGTTTGTTTTCAGGGTACCTACCATTTTGGGTGGCGGGTCCTCTAGAAAAAGACACCCAAATTGCTTTTGCCATTAAGCCTACAACAGGTGATCGAACCTTTTGCTTTGGGGACCCTTCCTTCCACTCGCGATGGGTCGAACCCCAAGCGACTACTCCAGGGAACATGTCTTAGCAGTGCGCTCCCTGTTCTGTCGACCCTTTTCAGAGGTTGTCACACTCCGCCGTGAATTCACACGGTTTGGTGAAAAGAATGAAGGCAAAGAACATGGCCACCCCTTAAGATGTCCCTCCGGTTGTTCGTCAGAATCTTGAATACGTTTGAATCCCGAAAACACGAAAATGGGACCCACAAGGGGGATCCGATTCTCTTTTCTGTTGGTTGCCTTTGCGTGAGGTTTTGTTGGTTCCAACATTCACGTCAAATGGACTAGCATGATTGCAGCGCCCTGAAGCCCTGAAGTATTCCCTACTTCAGACTCTAGGACGCTGTTGATGCGCAGGGATGTGAAACCTCACTGTGGCCGAGGCGCAGTTTGCTTGAGCCGCTGAATCATGGCATTGTGCAAGAGCCTACAGGAACTAGGCGAGAGCAACAGGTTGCCTTTCCCCACGGCCGCGTTGAGAAGGCAACCAAAGAGAACGCATATGAGGGTAGCGTTTTCCGCGTGTATCCAAAAATTCGCTCAAACAAGCAAACTTCTGGCAAGTTAACGCAAGTAGGCTCGAGCTTTTAGCTTGCACTGACGCTGCCTTTCACGCTGACTTTCACGCCGCCTTTTGCTGTTCTGATTTCTGTTTGTTTGCAAGAGAACGCCGCGTTGAATTTGTCGGCTGCCTTCTGGACTGTGGAAGACTGTGTTGAATGAAGATTTGCATTGCGCAGGGCTGGTCAAGATAGAGCGCACTAGGGTCACGCGACCAGTTCAGTCGAACCTTCAGTACTGAGGTTTTCACGGTATACCCAATGAGAACAAGCCCCCACCACAGTTTCTGCCAGCTGGGGCTCGCCAGATACAGATCGGGTGTTCCATTCAGTTTTACACCAGGCAAGCATGGGCCACCGCTGGCACTGGCACATTTCTATATTCAATTACTTCGATTGTGTAAGTTGCAATCGCGGAATCCTGAGTTTTGCTTCTCTTGTTTGCTGTTCTTTCAACAAAATACAGGCTGACATGAATCACTTTTTAGAGCAGAAGTCGTGCAATGCGACCTCTTCTTGACTGCCCGCTTTTCGCCGCCGCATGGAGAAACATAACTTGCGGGTGACGAAAAAGGTGCTGGCGGCGCTCAGGGACCCTCCCCACAAAAGCTTAACGGCTGCACGTCTAAATGAACGCCAGGTGGGTTGATTGTCTTTCACAAAGCGGAGGGAGTTGCAGATGTTTCAGCTGGATGTCCGCGGGCCCCCCATATATTCAACATCGAAGGTTGGTGCTTTGCAGTTGCTCTTGCAGGCTGAATTGAATCCTTGTCTTGTCCGGCATATAATTTCAAGCAAGATGATGTAACCGATTGTAAATGGATGGTCTTGCCTTGAGTGGTGGTTTCTGGCTCAAGCTTGCATGAAACAGACCAGCTGAATTATGAATGCATCTGCGAATCAGCAAGCATGCAGATGCTGGATCATGCAACAACTTGAATCGCTGAACTTATTGGTATATGCTTGGCGAGTATGGCAGGCTCCCAGACCAGAATTCGCTCACGTTCAATAAGTGGACATACGTGTAAACATGCTGTTCTTGGAGTACAGTTGCCCTGGCACACTCACCACGTGCCGCTCTGAAGCCGATTCACCAAAGAGGGCAGTTTTGATGATGGATGCGGCGGCCATCCAGGAGGACTGACGCGGCACACGTGGGTCACATTTGGGGCCGGAGGAACTAAACTTTGACCACCAAAACACGAACAAAGAGCGGATTGAAGTCCTAGGTTTAGGGTTGAACGTTGACCAAGTAACATCCCGGCCATGCACCTTTGCAACCGCGCTTCGATTTGGTTCCTTTCTTTTCCAGTTGATGTCCTGCGATCAAAATGGCCGGCACAACGGAGGTGCCCTCCTTTCATGCCATGGCTGCTAAGCCATGCTGATTGCTCTGGCCAGGGTGCCTTCTGCCAAGGGGCATCTTGTGCACTCTTCGTCAACAGGGGGAATGCAAACTGTGTAAAGCTTTAGCCCTTTGCAACGTTGCTTCTTTCGAACTGGGGAGATCGGGCCCGAACTCAAGCCAGATGAGCTGAACTTGAACTGACATCGCCAGCTTCTTTTCAGTGCCCTCGATACATTTTTTGGGTGCTCTGTTCCATTTTGAAAAAAAGAGGTCACTTAGTCCTAAATCAAAGAGGTCACTTAAGCCATAAAGGGAGCCGCAGCGACGCGCGAATGACACTGACGCAGGGGGGAACCGACACTAACGTAAGTGACCTTTTCAAGGTGTAAGTGTCCTCGATTCGCACCCCCGCTGACACTCAAATGACACGCTTTGACACTCAACACGCCATGTTCGGGCTTTCCGGGTCGGCCCCAATCAAACGTGGCAGTTGTCACACTTCGACACGGGTAGCTGCTCGATTTCAACAGAATCCCAACCCCTATCAAGCCAAAAAGGGCAGTTAGCAAACGAATCACAGGGTTACTTCGGCCACCGACAAGGCCTTAAGTGCCCTCGATTCAAAAGCACATCCAGCGCCCTTCATTGGAGGGCACTAAAATATGCTGGCAGCTAATCATTGTTTGCATGCCAGAAGTCAGCGATGTAACAATGGCTTGATGAAGGCAAGAACACCCCTCTGACGCATGAGGAGTACTGGAAGTCTTATTTAAATTGCCAGCCGGGATCCTGCACTCTTGACACGGGGTCATGCCCTTGCTGGGCGTTGTTTCAACACATCAGTAAGCTCAGCTAAAGGAAACGCGTGAAATTGGTGATTGACATTGACATTGAATGGCAGATGTTTGGAGGTGGTTGTCCGAGTCGTGGGCCCTTCTTGGCACTCGTGATGGCGGCCAAAAGCATCGTGCTCGAAGGACACCATGGAGTACGCCGTGGCCGTTCCACGCGCTCCGTACCTGGCAGAGGGAGGCTCAGGGAGAAGGGTGGTGCTACTGCTATCTTCTCCAGGCGGCTGATTTCAGCTCCATGAAGTTCCGGCTGCCCTGCCCACTTGTCCAGTAGTGGCATGTTTTGTTCTATTGGCTTCAGTTACACTAAAGCCAATAAGGGGCTCAATTTCAGTGTCACGCAACAAATGAGCTGAAGCAACCACGGGCTTCTTGGTTCGCATGTCAACGTGTTGTGCCTTATGTTTTCCCATGTGGACGCCTACCATCGACTGCATTCAAGCGTGATGTACTCAGTGGGAGCCCCTTCCCAAATGCCGCATGGGGAGGCTCCTGGCTGTTTGGAATCAGAGCAAGTGCGCCCCAAAACGTGGTGTTAACGAACGTGGTGACTCGGCAACCAGGTCCCTGATTTTTGACGCTTTCCACAGCTGTCATTTGCTAGAATAACAGGACTTTCGACTCGAGACCACAGATATTGTGCCCACTTCACAAGCATCGGCCCATGGCGTGTGTGAGACAACATGTTTTGGGCCAGATCCCGTCTTTCCACGTGGTGCATGCCTCTCCTTCGGTTTCGGTCAGGGGAGGTTCATGAGCTGGAGCCCTTCGAAGGGCTTCCGCCAGAAGCACA